ATAGCTGTCAATCCTCATGTAGCAGCTGAAATGGAACATTTGAGAAATGAACGTGTACTAAAACTAAGTGTCACTCCTATTTATAAGACAGACCAAGTCTCATTCAAACTGTGCTATCTAAATGCACGGTCGTTGCATAAACACATTGATGACATTCGGCATGATTTTAATTTTGCAACTACAGACATCAATATTTTTTCTGAAACTCGATGTATGCACTCGGATAATGCCAGTATGTATAATATTCATGGTTACACCTTGTTCAGAAATGATGGTCACTCTTTGACTACCAGACCCTTTGGTGGCATGGCAGTGTTTAGCAGAGTTGAATTCTTACCTGGATATCCATGTTGTTATAATATCAATGGCATTGAAATAACCGTTATGAAAGCAATGATTCTTCCACATGTTACTATAATTGGTATATATCGATCACCCAGAATCCCAGTACAACAATTGTGTGCAGCATTAGATGAAGTTTTGAGGTTCTGTACTTCTCAATTTAACATTTTCATTGGTGATTTTAATGTAAATTGGTTGAATGAAGCCAATAGAAGGCCTTTATATAATTTTTTTATCAATAATAACAACTACAGACAATTAATATCTAGTGTCACTACAGACAATCAGACGTTAATAGATCACATTTATACAAATTTACCAGAATCACAAGTGAATCCCCACATCTTAGAAACATATTTTTCAGATCATAAAGCCGTATGTGCCTTAATTAATTGTTTTCTTTAAATTGTAAGGTCTTCTTAAAAGTAATGAACTGCGTGAATAGCAGATATTTGGCTCCACTTAAAAAGAAACATTATTTTCGTATCATTATTATTGCATTTGGGATATAAATGGTACTCATCCTCTAAAGTCACTGGTTAAATGTAAATATTCTTAATTTATATGCATGAAGTAGGCATATAATTTCAAATAGCACAATTCCGCTCAATTGCTGTGCAAATGTGATTCCGTCAATGCAACATTCAACCTACTAATATTGTTAAAATAACATTACAAAACAAAACACCTCAGTTACTATCCTTACCCTAAAAACAATTGAACAAATCCGCCAAAATATCACAGGTCACGTGACCAGCCGGTCTCAGGGTCTCAATTCAAGCGAGGTAGGAGCGAAGATTGAGAACCTGGGTACGAGGTTGTGCAACATTGGAACATCAATGCATTATGCGCAGATACATGTACGCGTGGCGTACCTATTTTTTTTCAATGTCGACTGGATCTAGTTGGTCCTTGCCCCGTGTAAAGGCAGGAATTGCTGAATGGGCATGTCGGGACATTAATGATTCTTGTATGGTGAACTCTTTATCTGCCATTACAAGATCCCAGGTAATAACTTATCCATTAATCCACAGTTATCTGTCAAAAACTTGTCGGATGTTCTCCCTCCCCAAGCTTTCGATACAAATGAAATTGTGCCTTGTGGAGTTATCCCAATCAAAACCTTCACGGTATTGTGGCTTTTGTATGAGGAATATGTCTGAGCTCGAGCAAGAAGATTCGAAGGTCTGTCGATAAAAACTTCAAAGCAGTCGATTATCACAGTGGTCTTATGTCCAAATGAAAACTGAAAACACTGTGGCATAGTTCGCCACAAGTCTTCACGCTCTGGCCACTTGATCAATGGTGATAGCCTTACATCCATAACTATCATCCAGGATAGGAAAATTCTTGAAACAGTAGGTACAGAAATTCCAAACCGGTAAGCAAGATCTTCAAACGGCATATTTAGTCTTAACTTCATCAAAGTTAAAACAAATTCCTCAAATGGAGTCAACCGTACAGTCTTACGAGTTACAAATGGCAATATTTGACGGAAAACTGTACTCAATATTTCAAATGAGACAATATGGCGACGCGATCACATGCTCCCAAGCGCACTGCGCAAATTTCAACAAATACTCCATCAAAAACGCCCAAGAAACCGGTTCTAGAGAAAGCAAAGAAAACCATAAATGCCAATAAAGAAGACAGAGATAATTTACACGAAGAAAAGCCTATGAATGTCGAAAATATGTTCGAAACGATTATGAGCAAGCTGCAGACCCTGAAATAACGGCCGGCGGTCGGCGGTTTTCCGACCAAATTCCACTTTTTCCGACCAAATGCTGAAATGATCGGAAATTTCGTCCGGACAAATGTTGAAAAAAATGATAATCTCTTTTTTTTAAATTATCGGGTCGGCGCTCAGTACAGTGAGTGCAGTATCTTATAGTCTTAGATTATCTATACTAGTCTTATATAGAGTAATCAACTGGAAAGTTATTAAAGTTTCTTCGATCAGAGTATGCTTTAAACAAAGTTTAGTTAACTTAAATGTGTGACAGTGCATGAGTTACGAGTCAGAGTGACTGCTTTCATTGTTGTTAATTTGACGACCTGGAAGATAAAGAATGCGTTTCCTCGACGTTTCGAGCAAAGGCCCTTCATCAGGACAGTTAAATAGGCTGTTTATTACAAGTAGAGTGATTTACTGCATGCTTGACAGAATTTACTCAACGGAGGGGATCAAACTAAACTAAAAAATTTCCGACCAAATTTGAAAATTTCCGGTCAAATTTCATTTTGCTTGGAAGTTTTGCCGGACAAATTTAAAAATTATTTCAAGCTCTGAAGCTGGGTAAATTAGATATCATTGATGGCCGTATGATATCGATGGAACAAGAACTGAAGGAAGTAAAAGAATCTTTAGAATATGCATATGCTGAAGTTGAAACGCTGAAGAAAGAAAACGCAGGGCTAAAGAAGTCAGACTCGGAGACGAAAGAAAGATTGGCGAAAGTAGAAGAGCAGAATTCAGCATTAAATAGTCGCGTCATTGACCTACAAGCAAGGTCAATGCGCGACAACTTAATGTTTTATAATTTATCAGAGTGTGAGGGCGAAAATACAAACAACCTCATACATAACTTATTACAAGAGCAACTTGGAATATCGGATGCGAAGACTATAAAGATAGACCGTTCACACAGAATAGGCAGAAGAACACCGGGATCGAGAAGACCAAGAGCCATTGTCGCGAAATTTAATTTTGACCCGGATAAGGAACGTATACTGGCTAACGCGAGGCGATTAAAGGGTACAGGAATTGCAATTTCTGAACAGTTCCCGGAGGAAATTGTTAAATTAAGAAAGCGACTACTGCCAGAAATGAAGAAAGCACGTGAGGATGGTAGGAGAGTAAAATTAGTTAGAGATAAGTTATATATAGATGGCCAACTTTTTAGACATAATTCTACTCACCAGGTTTCATATTACATATAAACAAAATACCCCGTGGATATTCGTCCGACACCGGATCTTCCTGCTTCACGGCTATTCATCCGACAACGCTTTAAAAGCTAAAACTAAACCACTAAAAGGGTTGCGTTGTTTCTTAAGAACGAAGCAACAACATATTCGATACGCTATACGTTTCGTA